TTTGGGGAGTGGGTCTTCTTAGGCTGGTTCCCCCACTCCCCCCTGTGGTGTGGTGTGGGTTTGGGTTTCCTGCGTGGGTCTGCTTGGCGTGTGAGCCCTCGTGTGGAACAAAGCGTGCACAGTCACACAGATTCGGCTTGGGGAGCGGGGGGGGGGATTACCATGGGGGGGGGGTCGGTGAGCCGAGAGCCGGGATCATATATGTATGTGTGTCTGCCTGTCTGTCTGTCTGTCTGTCTGTCTGTCTGTCTGTCTGTCTGTCTGTCTGTCTGTCTGTCTGTCTGTCTGTCTGTCTGTCCTGCATGATCCTGCATAGCCGCATAGCCTTGCATTTATGTATGTATGTATGTATGTATGTATGTATTTATGTATGTATGTATGTATGTATGTATGTATGTATGTAACGAAACCACACACACACACACACACACAGACACAAGAAGTATACAGGATACACATTCGTCCATCCTTTGCGCAGAGGTTTGGTGCTTTTGTGGCTTGGACGCACGCAGATTGTACACCAGCGACGAGTTTCCTGGTGTCCGGCCAGCCATGAACGAGAAAGCTCGATGGCAAGCTGAGCAAGTTCTCATTTTTCTGAGGACATGCCAGAGGCACAGCCGGAAATCAAACTGAATGTGGAGGTAAATGACGGCGTCAACCCGTGGCTCGGCTGACGGGCGAGACGTGTCCTGAGCGTTCCGAGGCAGACTTTGCAAAATCTGAGGCCAGGCTCAACAAAGAAGCCGATCTTCAGCCCGGAGCAGTATGGTGCTTAGCAGGAAGTGTAGGTCGATGACATAAGCAGCAGCCACAGCCAGAGTGCTTGACGCGATCAGCTGTCGGTCACTCAGGATGCAGGATCTACGGAGATTGCAGCAACAATTTCAGCGGCAGACCGTTTCCGTCTCCTAGGGGCCACCAGGCATCCTCTTCGTCCTAGATTTTGGGAGATAGATGGATCTGGGTCATGACTATCGACCAGTGGGACGGAGGTTGCCCAAATCCCTGGTCCTTGCATTTAAAGATTTTTCTGCTCCAACCGATCAGATGATCAGATCAACTCCGGAGAGTTGTTCTTCAGCCGCAGCTGTCCATTGGGGCTGCGAGACTTTTGTGTTGTTTAAAGCTCGGCTAGCTGACTTTGAGTTCCTTGACTCTTCACACTACATGTCCCTTTTCGAGCGCTGACTGACGGACTGACTGAGTGACTGACTGGGCTGTCTTAAAAAGCCTCAGCACATGTGTTTCTGTGCCGCGCTTTCTGCTGTTTGCCGAAGACACAGCGAGCCAGGATCCTGATTGCGCTAGTTGCTTTTGAGGCTCCGTGTGCTGACCGCAGCTGCCTGCGGCACCGGTGTCCTGTGAGGGCCTCAGCGAAATCGTGAGCTGTCCGTCAAGCGATGTTACGGCAGCTGTGGCAAATGCTGGTGTTGCACAAATTTTGTGATGTGCAAATCACGTTTCTTGAATTCAGGCTCTTCGTGGCCGGCTATGCAGCATCACCTGCGCAGGCGAGTCGGAAGCGTCTCTCCGGAAGCCTCAGTTTAGGCGCCTCTCAGCGGATCGCCCCATGCCCTGTCAAGGCCTTCGTGACCGCACCATGGCAGGAGCTGACAAGCGAATGTCACTTAGTTCACTGAAGGCTGGATGTAAATCTACTTTCGCGTGTGGTCATCAAAAAGCTGGCTGTTATGCTTCAATACATCTGTTGTCTACCCCTCCTTCTGACATGTCTAGTTTCCATAGTTTCTATCAGCACACAGCTGTTCTCGCAGTCCATATGCCTGAAGACCTCGCATGCGATGAAGCTGCTGGTTGTAGACTCCACACATCGCGGCTATTGCACAGCCGAATCTTGGAGAACCCGGATCCAGTGGGAACACTCCTCATCGCGCGACCTTCCGGCCTTTGCCGGTTTGCCGCGAGGATCTCCGAGAGCCCAAAGTCGCCCAGCGCGTGTCGCACGGCGGCTACGCGCACGCTCGGAACTCGGACCGTAGGATTTCGCCTCGAGCGAGGGGGGGGGGGGCAGCCTCCTTTCGCCTCTCCCCACAACTGGCTCCTCTCAATGGACCCTGCAAGGCGAAATATCGCAAGGAGCTCCGGACCATGACAGATGAAGAACTCCATGAGACCATCACGAAAGCGTCTGCAGCTTAGACAAAGCCCTTTCGTTTGTATGATTTTTTTCGTGCGCGCATTCAAAACTGCTGGCGGGAGGCGTCGAATGACGCTGCACCATCGCATGGAGGCCTGTCGCTGCGAGCGACTACCCTCTCCTTTCCCAAGCTTGCTGCTCTGCAAAACTGCTGCCAGAAATTCCGACGAAAACAGCCGTCAGCCGGCAGCTTGTACGAGTGGCAGTACAAGATCGCCACGGCCTCATCTTCCCGTATAACGACAGGAGCCCGGAACATCGGACTTTGGAGCTTCTGAGTTGGGATGCAGAGGTTTCCTGGCAGTTGCACTGCAGGCCCTGGCCAAGACCTTCCTCAAGCAGCGAGAGCTTGCTGCAGCAGCGTCAGTCGATCCTGAGGACTCGTGATGTCCACAGGGTGACTTCCCTGCAGGGTTGACATCCACCGTTGCTCTCCTTGAGGATAGCGAGCCGCTGTCGGAAGATGCACCGGTCCTCGACCAAGTCATGTCCGGAATGGGTTGTTGCCCTGGCATCTTGCGACCTGTCCTAGGACAGGCCGACACTTGCAAACTGGATGAAGGAGAACGAGGCCCTTGGCGAAGCGAAGCGACCTTCTGATTTCCTGCACTGGCATGTAGCAGCTGTGCACTGTTCAGGATTTGGATTCGGCTGAGACCGAGTGGTACGCGCGTCCAGGTCTGGTCAGTTCGGGGCTGGCAGCTGGTGGCATTTTGGTCATGAAGTTCATGAACCAACAAGAGTCGTTGTGATCCCAATGTTCTGTCCTCGCAGGTGTGTAGCTTCATGCAATTTCCAGTCGTCGCATTTGCTGCCCGACCGTGCCGAAGAGTTTGGTGTTCTAGTAGTCTTCTGCAAGGCTGGGGAAGGCTGCGGAACGAGAAGCTGGAGTTTCCCAGAGAGATCGCCTTCGAGAGGAGGCGATCGGTTTAGCTTTGCCACGCTCGCGCAGGGGCATTTGCGGAGTCACTGCCGCAGTCGAAGCCGCAAGCCGCAAGCAATCCCAGCAATCTCAATTGCCTGGAGCAACGGCCTGAACGCGAACCCGAACTACTACAACGGTGACCTATTGGGATGTTTGCAGAGCAGCATGAGCATGCCCGTAAAACCCCGTGGCAGAGCTTAATCCAGGAGAGGCTTAGCAGTGCAGCTGCAATCAACATGCCCAACAATGTAGGGCAACCAATTGCGGAGAAGCTTCGTTCATGGTGTCGAACCCACTCCCGAACCCTTGGAAGGCCGCCCAGCATCTGCGACGTTCACTGAAACTGTCTAGGGGATTTACCACATTGCTTAGACAAGTCTACAGGAACGAAGCAAGACCTGGCCACGAAATCACATGACATGAGAATCATTAGGACACGTGAAGGGCAGCCAAAAGGTCGTTGGCTCGTGACTTCTTGTCCCCGTCCCGTTCCTTTGCCCTTTGATGCAGTAATTTTCTGCTCTTGGTTGATGGGTGTGTCACCCTCTATGTTTACCTGCAAGCTGCATGCCTGATGGCGGCCGACAGCCTGGCTGGGATTCTGGAAGACTCCTGCGGACTTGTCCTCCTGTGGGAAGCCTGCCTGCAGGTATTACGAGAAGTACGACAAGGAGTACAAGACCAAGGCGTCAATTGGCGTCTGCGGCCCAGTGCATCCGCCTAACTGCCTCATGCTGGCCCCAACAGTCGCTTCACCAAGCGAACTGAAGCAGAGGTTCCCTTCAACAAAGGGGCGATCGATCTCAAAAAAGCTCGGAAAGAGGTGCGCTCCCCCTCCGGTGCTCCCTCCTTCGGTGACTCTGCTCCTTTTGGCTTTGGCCCTTGACGTTTTAAGTGCCAGGCCCGGAAGGCAACAGCGGCAGAGGCCTTGCCTTCAAAGCCGCAGGCGGCGGCGACACCCTGCGATCGCAGCCATCACTCCGCCTTCCCTCAAAGACACGCGAACCCAGCCACAAGTAGCTTATCTAGACCTATAGGTTTGTTGATCTCAAGAGGTTCCTGATGCTAGCCTCCTTCTCTGGGAGGTCCCCGCCATGGGGAGCCTCGCCGGCGCAGCAGTGCCTGGGTCCCTGCGAGGGAGTCTCCAGACTTTGAGAGTCGTAGCAGGGGTCGCTGTGACGTCCTGAGGCTCGCCGGTCTCTGGGGAGCTGCCAGAGGCTGCAACTTCAGCTTAACTTCAGCCAGAACGTGGCATTGGAAGGATGTTATCCAACATTTCAGAGAGAGAGAGAGAGAGAGAGAGAGAGAGAGGAGAAGAAGAAGGCGCTCCGAAGAGCGTTTCCCGATGCATTTTCAACGGGCTGGCGTTGGGCAGGCCGGCGCTGGTGATGGAGTCTGCCCTCGCACCAGCTGAGCCCGCTGCACCTTCACAACTTTCAGCCTAGGAGGCTACATGTCCGTCCATGTACAAAAAAAGCCAGAACACCATGACAGCCCAGATGAAGGTAAGCAAGATTTCCTGCTTTTCCGTGATCAGCCTTCGCAAAGAAGAGCTGCAGCTCGCACTTTGCATCCTACAGCCGCTTTCCGACGTGAGCAGAAAACGTGCACCGTGGCAGGGTGAGGAATGGCAGTAAAATTCGGTCGGCTTGAGATTGAAAGCTTGTTTTTAGCAAGGAGCTCAGTTCCCGAGTGCATCTTAATCACGCAAAGCGTGGGCAGAAAGTATGCAGATTTGAGTCGCAATGCACCTCAGTCAGGTTGTGGCATGTGCTACCGCATCCGCAGGCTCTCTTTTCTGCGAGATCCCAATGCAAGTGTGACGATGGAGCAGGCGGCATCAGCCGTGTAACTCACCTCCCCCAATTCATGGAGTCCACTGTGCAAGGAACTGAGAGGACGCTCGATAGCAGTTATCACTCGCCTAGTGTCACGCCATCCAAGAGACCTTTACGTGTTCGATGAATGCTTCTCCTTCGTTGTCTCTTCTTTAGCCTTCGGACAGTTCAGAAAAGCTTCCGGTCGTTGTTGTTCTCTTGTTGACACTGGCTGGCATGCAGAAACTATCAACATTCCGCAGTTGCTCTATCTTGCCGTAGGCTTTGAATTGTCTGCTTCTTGACCTGGCATGTTCTGCCTTGGTCTCACGCATTGGTGTGAGGGTTGCAAGAGCAGAAATTTGATCGGTACGTTTACTTCACACAAGGAAAGAATTTGGCGTGGGCCTCCCAGGCCAAGAACTGCCTCTCGAGAGGGCCAGGCATGGCCGGGCGGAACGGCGGGAGATGGCGGGAGGAGGGAGGAGGGAGGAGGCGGAGGTCTTGAGGCGCCTTCGACCGCTCTTCGGGCCTCCGCAACTTCGCTGTTCAACTTCTTGTGTTGGCTTGGCAGACATGTGGCGCAACTCCAGGTCGTAGTGGATAAGATCAAAGTGTTCTGCAGAAAGCCTCGTCGATGTCTTTGAATGCAAGAAGAAGTTGAAACACAATGACCGCAACCGCGGCTGTGAGATTTTGTGGATGCACAAGCAGGCATCTGCAACAACCAATCGAGACTCTTGAGAACTGTTGCTTCTTTGGAATAGCCCTGAAATTGCAGGCAGCTCATGACACACTACGGTCGGTGCGACGACATTTGCTGCATAATTTGATGCACTGCATGTCGTTTGGTATAGTCGCTGAGGAAGGCTGATGGGCCAACAGAGACGACGCAGCTTCTGAAACCCACCAAAGCTGCTCCAGATGGCAAAGCCACAGGCGGGGGAGCTGCAGGTTCAACTTTGCAATTGGCGGTCAACTGACTCCGCAGACCTCGAGCAAATCGTGACAGAGAGCGCTGTACTTGCCATTGAAAAGCTGGATGTGCGCTTTATAGCGAGCCAGATCGCCAAAACAAGGAAGTATGAAGCATGGCGCTTGCAACGATGTGAAGTGCTGTTCATCTTCGCGATCGTACTGGGCAGTAGATCTGATAGCTCGAGTGTGTTTCGTTGCAGTGTGAGGCCCCCAGCTCACGCTCAACCTCGTGGTTTGTGGCCTCGGCACTGGGATTTTCACACTGCCTTGGAGTACAGCAGGCCGCTCAACTGATTGACTGGGTTCGCCCTCTTTTGTCAGGGTCCTGACTTAAACAGAGGGCGCTGTTTGCATGAGCTCTTCGTTCCGTACAGTCTCGAGTGCACAATCTCGATGTCAGGTGCGTCCTGTACGGTGGGCGTTCTTATTGTAGCAGGCGTTCTGGCACTGAATGCGGCTGCCTCAGGACATAGAGTCATAGAGATCATAGAGCTGCGAGCGATGCGAGCCATGCAGAGCCCCCGAGCGGTCTCTGTGTGAGGCTTGGACCATCTTCATCTTAATCGAGGCGGCCGAGGCCCATCAGGCTTTTGATATTGGATCTTTATTGTCGAGCTTGCCGGGCACCAAGCAAGGGGCCTTCTACAGGCATTGCTCTCTGGGATTGCGCCCCACAAGGCCCGGAGCTCTCGGACGAGTAGCTCCACCGGTGGTAAATGCAGTTATTTGGACGGCGCCCGAGCTTGCAAACCCGCGCCAGCATGCAGTTCACAGAAAGCGCCCGAGAGGATTGGAGGCTTCTTTTGTCTCGTCTCCTACGTGATAGTCATCGCTGGCTGCTTGGTACTCCCGGATGTCAGCAAATGCAGTAGGGCCTTAGGACCTCTGACGTGGGACCGAAACAGAAACTAGATTCTGCTCATCGGCCAAGGCCGATTGTGCTGGCCCGATTGCCGGAGTGGCAGCGTGGAAGCTGAAAGCTTTGACCTCCGTTTTGGCCGCGGTCCTAGTTCTTCCTGGCCCTAGCAGAAGCATCCTGGATCACTTGGGTGCTGAGCGTGGAGCATTGCGCTCGGAGGTCCTTCCTATTTGTTTCTTGGAAGTGGCCCCAGTTCAGATGCTAGGGCGACCTGCACGGGTCTGCAGATTCTGCCGTCGGAGACAGCTTCGAGAAATGTGATGCGTCGCTTGTCGCTGGCGGGGGCATGGCTCCAGGTAGGTATGTCTTGAGTTCGCCTTGTTCAGACACAACACACAGAAGCCGCAGTGATTGTGGTGAGCTTCTGAATCAAGGTCCGACTAATCAACCCCAGCAGGTGCACCATTCTTGCCCGATGCGGGGATCTCCTAGCTAGAATTCTTCACTCCCTACAGTTCCAGCTCTTTAGCTCCTTGGTCCATGGCTTGCAGTGTCTGCAACCCGCAGCCCGGTCCACCAGTGCAGCGGAAGTTGTCAATCCACAAGACCTTGACGCTGGACTTTCCTTCGACGTGGCGCCGTGAGGCCCCTGCTTCCGAGTCGTGATGTTACTACATTATACGATACGATACTGCATTGTAATATACTATATTGAATTATACTATATTTTGTTATTATACTATACTATATTACATTATACTATAGTATATTATATGGTACTATTATATACTATGTTAAATCAAAGTATATTATACTATAGTAAACTAGGATATCTTGCACAGTATTATCTAGTATTATGTGGCAAGGACCTTTAGGGTTT